CGCATGTATGTCTGTGCACCTTGTGTGTGCCTGGTGTCTACAGAGGCCAGATGAGTGCTAGAGTCCCTAAAACTGGAGCTACAGATGTCGTGAGCCACCACGTAGGTGCTGGGAATTAGACCTATGGAAGCATCAAGTGCTCTTCACCAGAGCCATCTCTTCCGCAGTCTGTTCCACTTCTTGTGCTTGGATGTAGTATTTGCCTCGACCGCCATAATTACATACAAAGTTCAACCAGAGATATTGTCACTCTCTGTATTTCTTCTGGCCACTATTGTATTAGTACTGTTCATTCTATTTTAGGACTGCTCCTTGAAAAGCCCATTTGAACACAGTGTTTCCAAGTCGTCTGCCCCAGGTGACAATGAGCGGAGTACACCACAGAAATAAAACGCTTGGCGAGATGGCTCAGCAGGTTAAGACACTGTTGCCAGACCTAATAACCAGAGTTTAAACCCTAGGACTCATATTCTGGAAGGAGAGAGGTTGTCCTCTGACCCTTTATGTGCCGTGGAATACATGCATGTGTACACGCATATACATAAATAAATAAAGTATAATAGTGAATACAAAAATAAAAGCAAGCCAGAATCCAGGGTTGCATGCTTATGGAGCATATGTTATAGCTGTATCTTTTGTTATTTTGGTTGGGGCCTGAGATTAAACCCAGAGTCTCATACATGTAAGCACATGCTCTACCACTGAGCTATACATGCAGCCCTAAATGTGTGTTTATCTTTTAAATTATATGTATGGGTATGTGCACACACCGAGGCCAAAGGTGTAAGATCCCCAAAGCTGGAGTTTAATGGGCAGTTGTAAGCCACTCAGGTTTGGTTCTGGGAATCAAACTCAGGTCCTCTGGAAGAGCGGTACCCGGTCTCAACCACTGAGGCAGCTCTCCAGCGCCAGTAAATGTATGCATCTTTAGACAGCTGGGTCTCTTTCTGTAAACTTATCCTAAAGAAACAGGCAGGGGTGGGGATGGGGGGGGTGTGAATGAGAAATTAGTCGGGTAGGGGTGGAGATGGGGGGAGTGTGAATGAGAAGTCAGTCAGCTTTCAGCCACTGTAACAATTACCTGAGACAATCAAGTTATGAAGAGGTTTCTTTCAATTGGGGAGGTTTCCTTTCACGACAGATACTGGCCGTAGAAAACCAGAGAACACAGCAAGGTAGGTGGGTATGTCAACAAAACAAAACAAAGAAAACAGAGCAGGATGGGCATTTAAATATCTTCTTCCAGGACCTGAAGACCGACCGTCCCCTTAAAGAAACTTCCACCAACTTCTAAGAGCACCACTGTGGGGAACAAGCCATTTCTTTATTCATCTATTCCTCATTTATTCCTGCTAGACCTCATGTAGTCCCGGCTGTCTTCCAGCTTGTGCAGCAGAGGACGACCTTGAACTTCTGGTCCCTCTGCCTTACCCCTTCAGAGTGCTGACGTGGTAAGGGTGTACCACCCACAGTTGGTTTCATATAGTTCTGGGGATCTGAAAATTGAAACTCCAGGGCTTCTTGTATTCTTTGCAGGAACTCTACCCACTGAGCCACACTGTGGCCTCTGTTGCAGCATCTGTCTGCACACACCTGTCACACAAGTGAATCTTTAAAAGATAGAAATTGCGAGTAAAAAAAATGCATACTAGTTTTGCTGCTGTGCCTCCGATTCCAGAAGCTATCAGCACAATGAGCCGTGTGCTTAGTTACGATGGGAAAGCTGTCAAACCCATGTGCACTGGGGAAACGGTATACGCAAACTTGGGTGCTAGTCACAACTTCAAAGCACCATGGCAAGGGTCTTACAACCTATCCCCCTTGGGTAGGGTGGCATTACTCTAGGACCTCGGGAGGCTGTGGTGGGAAAGGGTTAATGGAGCCGAGAGGTTTAAAGTGAGCCCGAGCAGCACTGTGAGCCGCTGAAATCAAGGCAGACTCCACACGCCAATTCACCAGTAGGAACACCTCTGCTCCCATCCTTTCTGTCTTAGGCACTCGCGCTTCTAGCTTTCTTCTGTTTCAGTTCCTCCAGTTGCTCCTCAAGGGCCTCCAGCAAATGAGATGACACAGCTGGTAAAGGTGAGAATCCCCAAGACGCCCATGATGGGAAGAGAGAAATGACTGCCGTCAGCTGTTCTCGGGTCTCCAGATACCCTTCTGTGGCCCGAAATGAATACAGTACAATAGGGGAGCCTCTGTTTTAGTCATTTCTGCACCTCAGTAGCCCTGGCTTCAGATCCAACGCCTGGCATGTTTAATGTCCTCTCCTTTAGGGGGAGCTTAGAAAGTCTGTCTGCCTGCATAAATGTCTCTTGAGGAGTGAGAAAAAAAATGGGTGATGACATTTCTCTCTGTCCTTGCCACCTGTATCAGGGAAAGCAGGATATCCCCGCAGAGGACCAAACTCTGCCAGGTCATCTATAACCATGCAGCCCCCATCAGGGGACTTAGCTATGGCGTGATATTAATAACTGGAAGACGAGCACATGTGTGGAAGACGGAAGGGAAAGGCGATGGAATAATTGATGCATATTTTTACTCCTGAGAACAATGAAGCAACTGGATCAAGTAAATCTGACCAAGAGCATGGTTGGGAAAGACTAAGACACTAGCCTAAAGGTAGTTGGTACTACAGGGTTTTAAAAATGTCTGTAGAGAGGTTCTAAGCAATGAAAGGAAGCTCTGCTAGCAATCTTTATGACACCTTAAATCATGTACGTTGTGTCTGTGTAGAGGAGAGACAGGCAGAGATGCAGAGAACGAATGAGAATGACCTGCCACAGGGCAGCTTGAGGGGGGGGTCAGTTTTCTATTTCCACCTTGTGGGGTTGGATGTTAACTCAAGCCAGTCAGGATTGGTAGCAAGTGACATTAACTGCTAAACTATCTCGCTGGCTCCCCATATGTCGCTTTAACTACATTGACTAGTAAATTGCAAAAGTACTAATTTAAAAAAAAAGTCTCAAATATTAGCCATTGGCTAGCCTCAAATTTAAGAGTAATCCTTCTGCCTCGTCCTGACTGCTTCTGGGATTATAAACATGAGAGATTGCGTTGGGCGCTGCCTCCGGAATTTACATGAACACACTATGACCACTATTTTGATGCCTTTTTTTTGAAAGGTTAAATTCATGCCAACCCCGCCAAATGTTTTTCTCATGAAGTTGGTATCTGTGCACTGCTGGTGACCTGTGTTAACTGCTAGGAAATCTAATTCCAGATAACTTGTACTTTCTGCTAGGCGTCAAGACCGTGTTTACATAGATTATCCCACTTAATCCATAAGACCACTGAGCCGAGGAGAAACAGCATTATCTGCACTTCAAGATAAGCAAAAGGAGGGGCTGGGAAGTGAACGCTAGGAGTCTGACTCTACGGAACAAAGAACCGCCCAGGCCGCAGTTGGGAAGATTAAAATCCAGTGATTTCTAGCTTCCAATGAGGCGAAGAGGAGCCCTGGGCGGGAGCAGCGTGAAAACCTTTTCCAGCATCAGTGCCTTTTAGAGTTGCCCCCTCCCACTAGGGAGGCTCCATCCACCCGCTCGCCTGCCTCCCAGAGTACCACCCAGCTCTCGAACCTCTGCCGAAGCTCACTCAACCCCGCACGCAGTTCTCTCGGCGCCGAGTTGAGGGAGGTCTACTACTTGCTGCCAACCATGAACCACCATGCCCATTCACCTACAGAAAATATCACTTTCGAGTCACGGACCCGACCCCGCCCAGTTCAGGCACACAGGGGCGAGGCCTCAGCGCCCCCTCCCATCGCCCGGGCACAAGCGCCATGAAGGTGACCTCCCCTTAGGGCTGCACGCGCCGGGTGGTGCTACAACTGGCTCACACGTGGTGAGCCCGGAGAGCGCGGCCCCTCCCCGCCACGCGCCGCCTGCAACCCGCTCGGTCACGCCCCCAGGAAGGCTCCGCCCTGGGCAGGGCGACGCGCACACCCGCCCCGCGTGGACTGGCAGCACGAGCAGGGAGAGATCCAGGACGCGCCCGGGGTGAAGGAAACGCACGAGGTCGCTCGGCTCTCGGTGCAGGGTGGCCCTGCCCCTTGGTGCGCTAGGGAGCGCGCTGGGACCGCCAGACAGACTCCAGTGGCAGCGCGCGCCCTGCGTCTTGTCTTTGGAAAGCGGGCGTTCTAGTCCATTGGGAATCCCTTTAGCTCCCCAAAGGATAAAAATAAAATAAAAACCATTATTTGACCCAAAAGCATTTGTTTGTGGCTGGATCGTGTGTGTAGCAGGGAGGGGATCCATCCAAGACAAGGTGAGTCTGTCCCCTAAAGCTTTGCTGAGTCTCGGTCCTCTACCCCCATCAACGCTGCTCTGGCAGTCCGTCGGTGTCCCAGAAAGAGACGGGGAGAAGAGTCCTACCTGGCTGCAGGTGTATTGAGTAATCTAAATGTGCAAAAGCAAGGCGGAGAAAGAAAAGCTTTGAGGGCCAGATGGGAAGCGCTCCATGTCCCCCACCTTCACTCCAACCACCATCCTAAGAAAAGAAACCGACCTCATCCGTCTCCTCCCCCCCCCCCAAACCCCATCCCAACCCATCCCAGGCACGAGACCGCCCCGCCCAGGCAGCCTGCGATTGGGAGATGCAAATGCCGAGTTCTCTGCCCAGCAACGGATGACGCGACACCTAGCGCGAGGCGTGGCCCGGCCGCTGCCCGAGCGGGCACCTCGGTGTTTACACGGGGCGGCCCCGCGCGCGCCGCAGCGGCCCGCAGACGGCGAGGGGGAGGGGAGCGCGCGCGCCTTCGGGGCCGCGCGGGGAGAAAGACACTGGAAGGCGGCGGCGGGCGGGCAAGCGCGCGCGGGGCCGCGGAGGAGCTCCAGGCCGCGACCGGAGCCCGCGGGGACCTGCGAGGCTCGAGTACTCGGCTCCGCAAAACAATGCGCGGCGCGCGGCGGAGCTCTCCTGGCCCGGGGCGGCGGGGACGCGCCGAGCCCGCCTGAGCCCGCGCCGCTAACCTCCCCCCGCACAGACGGCCCGAGCGCCGCGCACCCAGCTCGCGGGGGCCGGGCCCAGCCGCGGGGCGGGGCCGCCCCTCCGTCGCCGCTGCCTCCTCCCCCCCACCGCCGCCGCGGAGGATGCGGACGGCCCCCGGCGGCGTCTAGCGGCCCGGGCCCGGCGCGATGGTGCAGCAGCGGGGCGCGCGGGCCAAGCGGGACGGCGGGCCGCCGCCCCCGGGGCCCGGGCCGGCCGCCGAAGGGGCGCGCGAGCCCGGCTGGTGCAAGACCCCGAGCGGCCACATCAAGCGGCCCATGAACGCGTTCATGGTGTGGTCGCAACATGAGCGGCGAAAGATCATGGACCAGTGGCCCGACATGCACAACGCTGAGATCTCCAAGCGCCTGGGCCGCCGCTGGCAGCTGCTTCAGGACTCGGAGAAGATCCCGTTTGTACGGGAGGCGGAGCGGCTGCGCCTCAAGCACATGGCGGACTACCCGGACTACAAGTACCGGCCTCGCAAGAAGAGCAAGGGGGCGCCCGCCAAGGCGCGGCCCCGCCCCCCCGGAGGCGGCGGTGGCGGCAGCCGGCTGAAACCCGGGCCGCAGCTGGCGGGCCGCGGGGGCCGCCGAGCGACGGGAGGGCCTCTGGGGGGCGGCGCGGCGGCGCCTGAGGAGGACGACGAGGACGAAGAGGAGGAGCTGCTGGAAGTGCGCCTGCTGGAGACCCCCGGGCGCGAGCTGTGGAGGATGGTCCCGGCGGGGCGCGCCGCCCGCGGACCCGCGGAGCGCGCGCAGGGGCCATCCGGAGAGGGGGCGGCCGCGAGCGCCGCCTCCCCGACCCTGTCGGAGGACGAGGAGCCCGAGGAAGAGGAGGAGGAGGCTGTTACAGCAGAAGAGGGCGAAGAGGAGACGGTGGCGTCGGGGGAGGAGCCGCTGGGCTTTCTGTCCAGGATGCCCCCGGGCCCCGCCGGCCTGGACTGCAGCGCCCTGGACCGCGACCCGGACCTGCTGCCCCCTTCGGGCACGTCACACTTCGAGTTCCCGGACTACTGTACCCCTGAGGTTACCGAGATGATCGCAGGGGACTGGCGCCCGTCTAGTATCGCCGACCTGGTTTTCACCTACTGAGCCCATCGTCAGCGGGGCGCGCACGCCCCCAAACCAGCTGTTTACATACAGGAATCAGGTATTGGGGCCCCTCGGAGGCCGAGGCTGGCACCCCATCTCCCGCGCAGCCTCCCCCCTCCTAGTCGTGCCCATCCCCCCCACAGATCCAGACATACCCCTCCCCCGCAGACACACCCCAAGGCAGCCCAACCCCCACCTTCTCCCTGACATCTAAGCCCCTCCCCATCCAGTCTTGTCCCGCGTAGCCACCAGCAGCCAGCCCCCCTCGGATACACCTCCCATTCCTCCTACATACCTGAACCCCTCCCCCCCACTTTGCACACGCCCCTCCTCGTGGCCGGGCGGCACGCCCCTTTGCTCCAAAATCCCTCCGCCCTCGCCTGGGCCTGCCTTGGTGGTTAAGGGGGCGCTGCGGTCTGGCGGTCCGGCGCTCCTCCCGGTCTCCTCCTCTCCTGGAGGGGCGGGTAGAGCATCCGTCCCCCCCGCCCCCCATGATCTTGAGGCCCCACCCCTCAGCTTCAACCGTCCCCTTCTTGCGCATGCTTGATGCTTCTTGGAGGGGGCTGGTCCCAGTTGAGCTGCAGGCCTCTGTGGCCAACTTCGAAAGGGAGGGGTCTAATATAGAGCAATCCTAAGAAATCCTTTGATCCCGGAGCCCGTGGCTTCCTCTCGACCCAACGGGGCGTTACTGCCTTAATGGGAGGCGCACTCAAAGGGAGAGATAGAAACTAGCCAGCCCTAAACTCTGCAAGTGTCAACCCCTTTTCTATGATGGGGTCACCCACGCCCACCACCACCCTCCACCGCGTGACTGCCTTTACAGCCCATCTTGGTCGCCGGAAACTTCCTTTCCCCAAGTGGGAATTTGGAATTTGGTCTTTGTCTGGAAATCCACCAAGATGGGAATGTCCAAGAGAACTCAGAACCAAGAAACCTACCAGTCTGGGGACAGAGTTCCTGCTGCCCCCTCAATCCCCCTCCTCGGGAAGTGCCCTATCAGCTCAGGGCATCCTTTCTGCCTGGGCTCCTCCCTAAGTCCATCGCCCCTTCCTATCACTCAGATCCAGTCTCGACAACCACAGCTGCAGTATTCAGTGGGAGAAACTGAAGCAGGTTGTTGCTAGGGTTTAGGACAGGCATACCAGCAGACAGGGGTGGCAGGAATGAGGCCCTCGTCTCAACAGTGGCTTGAGGAGAGGCCAGGCCAGGGCGACTGGGGACAGGGCTGAGCTAGTGGACGTGGGTGCTTTGCACCTCGGTCTTCCCTTGTAAAAAATAGGGGTGACGCTGCTGTAGTTAGGAAGCTGTGTTGAGATTAGGTCGCCCTCCGGAGCCCTGCCCGGGTGCCAAGTCTGCTCCACTGGTCTCCCGCTTGAGCCCCGCCCCTCTGGCCTCCTCATCCCCTCTGCCTTCACTACCTGTATCTCACCGGCGTGTGTTCACCTTTTGGGTGGCGCACACACACTCATTCACACACACACAAATCTCAGGAACAAACGGTCCCAGAGTCCTCCTCGACCCCTGCCCTGGGTCTCTGCAGGTCTCTGCCCCACGCGTTCCCTTCGCTGACAAAGCCACCAGCTGCCTCCTTAAAGCTTGGTGCTCCGGCTCTGGGCCTTTCTTGCGCTCTTTCTCTCTTTTCTCTTTCTGTTTTCTTTTTTTTTCTTTTTATTTTCTTTTTTTAAGAAAACAAGTAACAAAAAAGACAATGAAAAAAAACGGAAACGTCATGTGAGTGAAGAGATGTCACTGTCTGTGGTCTTTGGAGAACTAGTCTCGTAGCTGAGAGGAGGGAACCCCTCCTCTGGGGCGCTGGCACCCACAGCAGGACTCGCCAGTCTGATGCCAGGACTGAATAAAGTGTATTTGCCCCGACCTCGCCCTGTGGTTCTGCATGTGTGTGCTTCTCACCCTGATCAGCTTCAAGTGCCTAGAGTATGGGCTGGTGCAGGGAAAGCTGGATCCTTCCCCGGGCCTCTGTTACCCTCTGTCTCAGGAATCCTTGCCTTCATTAAAGACGGCAAACCCATCTTTAGAGTGGTCAGGCAGGCAGAAGCAGGAGAGCCAAGCTGGGGCGGCCCCTGGTTTCATGACAGTACAAGGGTGCTAGCCCCCCCCCCCATAGCCAGATAGCCACATTTTTCAAGAGGTGCAGGAAACAAATCCTTGTAGTTGCAAAATAAAAACCCATGCAAATATTTTTTTAAGTCCCTAGGTCAGATGAGCCAGGTGTGCAGGCTGGACTGACCCAAGGGGGTCAATTTGACTGTTTAATGAGGATGAGGCGGCAATGCTCAGAGCCCAGCTCCTGGAACTGCTGCCCGTGTGTGTCTCGTGAGAATCACATTGGTATTTCAGAGTGAAGTCATGCTTGAGGTGAGCAGCATCTAATGTGTGCTCTGTAAATTGTATTCTCCGTTTGTAGAGTAGGAGGGATTGTGGAGAACAGACTTCTGGTCCCACAAACAGCAGTGGCTAGAAGTACACTGAGGTATCTCTCAGATGTGCCCTCCCAGCGCTTCAGAGAAGCATCAGCCATGGCCTGCAGTGTATGATTCCCGTGTGACCAGAGGCCAAAGGTCATGAGTCTTAGGGGGTTCTAGCTCTGTTCCTCCTTGGCCCTCTGTACCTTTGCCCCTCAAGCCTTGTCTGCCAGGTCCAGTGAGTGCCTAGGCTCAAACAAAGCCCATATTCCTATAAGCCAAGACTGGGTGTGGGTTTTCAAAGGGCATCTTCCCTGCTTCTGGTTGGAAGCAAACTGAGGGGAAAGTCTCTGTCAAGAGGTAGAATTGAAAAGGTAGGGAGGGCAGGGTATGTGCCAAACAGTAGTTGGTTCAAGGAAGGGCTTCCTAGACTGGAGAGAGTGAATGCCCTCCAACAAGGTCAGCCCCTCGCAGATAGCAGCTTGCCCAAGGCCACGCCCTTCCCCCTGGTAGGACTGCCCCAGTATCTAAGCCAGGTTGTTGTGCACGTGGGGCAGACTCTGCCAGGCGTTTGTCCTTTCAGGCCCCCTCTGTGGTCTCTGCTCTGTCAGGCCTCCTGAAGTTTTGAGTTCTTCATGCCCAAACCTGCTTCTTTCCACAGGTGTTCATCCTAATAAACATCTTACACCCCCAACTCAGTCTTGGTGTCTGCTTCTGGAAGAGCTCCCTACTGTGGAAGGGTTCAAGGTTGACAGAGGGAATGAGGGCGCCTCAGAGACCTGCCCTACTGCCTCCCAAAGGCAGCTCCCTTTTCCAGACCCTCCACACCAGCCCTGAGGCTGTCCCTTTCTAAGCCTGCTCACTGGGCTGCTGCAGCTTGTTATCAGTCCTAACTGGGCAAAGGCACAAAGGAAGTGAGCTCTGTAACTGAGTGTCCTTGCCACGGTCTGGACAGGTGTGTGCTGGAAGACTTGGCTGGTCCTCTGCACTCTGCAGAACTTAACTGCATCACACTGAAGGTGTTGGGAGCCTTAGAAGAGAGGCAGCTTCCATTTCGGATGCCCTGAAGCATATGAAGACATAGGGACTCTAGTGACATCTAGTGAGTGAGGAGTAGAAGGCAGGCTGGATAGGTGGAAGTCCAGTGAGACTGGAACTCACCTCTAAGGAGTGCCCATGGCATTTCTGGGCTCATGCCCCACAGGGACGGCTTAAGCCATCCCCACCCTTCTGCACTGGCTAGCAGCTCACCGTACAGACAGATCAGGCTGGCCTTGAACTCAGAGATCCACAGCTGTGTTTCCAGAGTGCTCAGGTGAAAGGCATTTGTCAACCACACCTAGCTCCCATTTTGCTTTTTGGTGACAAAGTCTCACTCTAGCCCAGGCTGGCCTCCTGAGTGCTGGGACTACAGGCACGAAGCACCATGCTGCGTTTATGTGGTGTTGAGGCTTGAACTCAAGTCTTGATTTATACTAGGCATGTGCTCTAGCAACTGAACTCTGACCCGAGCCCCAGCGTTTCTTAAGGATGAGCTTTAGCCAGGTGAGTCTTGGTCACTAGATATCCAAAAGTGGTCTTCCCTGGCCTTACGGATCTAAAGAGAAAGACATAAACCCAGGCTTGAACTTATGACAGTAAATGGCTAGGTTCCGGGTAGGGCACCGTCGGCTCCCTTACCCTTGTGACCTGAAATTTCAGCAGATGGTAGTTATAGAGTATAGCTACAAATTCAGACCTTGACCCTTGAACTTCCCCCTCGGTCCAGGCTGGCCTTTGCTGTCCCCTAGTGAGGAACAGCAGGTAGCAGGAGGGATGCTGCAGGGTTTCCAGGGTAAGGTCACTGAGCTTCCCTGTCGGAAGGCCAGTACTGAGGTTGTCATGTGACGAAGCATGGAGGAGACTTTGCCTAGGTGCTTTAGTTGATGATTGAGGCCTGACACCGGATGTACAAACAGAAGCTTGGGGACAGTCCAGCCTAGGGTCATTTGTGTTCCTGATAGCTGTTAGAGGCGCTAGAATCTCAGCCATCATGAGACTGGGGTGAGCCACTCTGCGATGCCCTATGTGAATTCAGCGTAGTGAACTGTCTTTTCACACTAAGTGAAAGCAGTAACTGGAATAGGAGGGGAGGCAGAGCCAGGCACAGAGTCACTGTATAGTGACAATGAAGGGTCTAGCTGGAGTGGCCAACCCAGAAACTGGCTGCAGGGTGTAGTGTGGACTGACAGGAAGGGCCTTGAGGTGTTTGGATTTTCCCTAGGTCTCCAACGCTGCAGTCTCTGAAACCCCTGGGTCTTTGGAAAATGCAGACAGTGCTCAGTGATGAACACCTTCCCAGACTTCCCGCTGCTCTCAGGGTTCAGTCCCCAGGTACTTGACTTTAGTTCAAGGCCTTGTTGCGTTGGCTCCTTCACTGTGGTAGATGCATCCTCAGTCACTAGCTCTACTTCCAGACTGCCTCAACCACCCCTGGCCACTCCATGGTGACAGTACACGGCCATGATATTTGCTATTGCTCTTGTTGAAGGTGGTGAAGACTAGAGCTTCCCCAGCTGTGCCCTGGGGCGGCTGGACTAGAGGTCTCCCAAGAGTATACCCAGCACGGCCCTCTAGGAGTCTGTAAGAGGGCGGGAGAGGTGTTTGCTGGCAAACCTGCCTTTCTAGCTCCTTCTAGGTTGCCTAGCTCTGAATGCCCACCCTCTTCCCAAATCCACAGAGGTTTCTAAGCAACCGGTTTCTGGCCCTCAATTGTTTCTGGCCTCCTTTTAACTAAATGTCAAGTTCTTTTCTTTCTGCTCCAGAAAACCTGAACCCAAGGGTCTCTGTAGAGACAGAAAACAAACTCAGAATGGAAAGAGGCTTGGGATGGAGGTCAGTGCAGCATTTGCTTGTCACTTAAAAAAGCCACCTGGCCACTTTGGCTTTTTTGTCAAGTCATGCTTACCTGTGACCTGCTTTGCTAGGCTTTCCCTCTTGTGTGTTTGAGTAAACTGACAACCTTAGTCATACTGTAACAGATTTTTATTTTAATTTTATATTATTAAGACACATTTTAGCTAGATGATGGCACACGCCTTTAATCCCAGAGCATGCACTGGAGGCAGAGGCAGGCGGATCTCTGTGAGTTCGAGGCCAGCCAGGACAGGCTCCAAAACTACACAGAGGAACCCTGTCTCGAAAAACCAGTGGGGGCTGGAGAGATGGCTCAGCGGTTAAGAGCCCTGACTGCTCTTCCAGAGGACTTGGGTTCAGTTCTCAGCACCCACGTGGCAGCTAACAACTGTCTCTAACGCCAAGATCTGACACCCTCACACAGACATACATGGGGGCAAAATACTAATGCAAATAAAATAAAAGGAAATTAAAAAAGATAATTTTATTTTTATTTATAAATTTGTGGGTGTGGGCTTGTGGACACCTGTATTTGCATGTGCACGGTGTTGTCCATGGAGGCCAGAAGAGGGCATCAGATTCCTTGGAGCCGGAGTTAAAGGAGTAGTGAAACCCTGCTGATGGGGTCCTGGGAACTCTGGTCCTCTGCAAGAAGAGCAACAACTCTTAACCATGGAGCTATCTCTCCGGTCCCCTGTTGCAGCAAACTCATGACACCCACTAAGCACCAAGCCCTGTCTTAAAAGATGGAAGATTCATCAGTGAGGAAGTCACAGCCCCTTCCTCACGGAGTTTGCTCTACGGTGGATGGACACACAATGAACAGACAAAGGTGATAGTGATAGATTAGCCCAGTCTCAAAGAGAAACAGGTGGTGGCTCACGCCTTTAATCCCAGCACTGGGGAGGTGGAGACAGAAGTGATATGGCTGGGCAGAGAGAGGGGCCACCATTTTAGACAAGGTAATTATGTCAATCAAGGTAAGTGAAGAAATCCAAAGACGGTAGAGCCCCAAATCCCCAGCCACCCTGTCTCATTCTACCACCTGATGCCTCATAGGCTGAGCAGAGCCTGCGCTGCTGAGGGAAGCTGATAACTGCAGGGCAGGAGACAAGTGAGGCTGAGGCGCCACTGGAGGGCAGTGAGCTCCAGAGCAATCATGAGGGGCAAGATTTTTCCCTGTGCTTCCTGCTTACAGAAAACTGGGAACCCTTGAGTCATTTTTTAAGCACCAATAACTAACAAACTTAGTAAAAAAATTACCATCTTAATGTCACGTCCCACCTCGTCCCGCAAGGAATGACGCGACCACCAGAGCTCTTCTCACTGCAGTTTATTCCAGGACTTTATTCACTTTCTCTCTCTCTCTTTCTTCCTCTCTCTCCTTGCAAACCTCTCTCAGCCCTTAAGTAGGCATGGGCTGCCAATCCCGGATTGCCAGGTGGGCACTGCCCATAGATTCACGCATATGCAGGCAGCTGATGATCATTGTGTGATCAGGCATAAGTCAGACTTTAGCCATAGGAGTTGATTCTACATCTCCATCAGGTGTGATTC